TTGGGGTGGGGGGGCCCAAGGACACCCCAAAAAAAAAACCCCGACATTAACGAGGACCTGTTGAGGGAGGAGGAGGAGGAGGAGGAGGAGGAGGAGGAGGAGGAGGAGGAGGGGGGTGGTGGGTTCCCCATCATCACGGGGGACACCCCCAAAAAAAAAAGAGGGATGGGGGGGTTTGGGGGGGTGGGGGTGTCACCTCAACACCCCCCCCCAACCAAAAAAAAATGTTAAAAAATTAAAAAAAAATTAAAAACCCCAAACTCACCCCAACTGGAGCCGGTCCTGCCCAGGAACTGGCGGGTGCGGGGGTCCCAGAGGAACGCTCGCCACTCGGCCACCACCTGCCCGCAGCTGCGCTTCTCCTTGTCCCGCGCCATGCTGGCCCCCCGCTGTCCCCCCCCCGCCCCGGTGTCGCTCCGGTGTCCCCCCCCCGCCCCGGTGTCGCTCCGGTGTCCCCCCCCCCGGCCCGGCACCGCCGCCGCTCCCGCCGGGACTCGAACCCGCGACTCCCCGCGGCCGCCGCCGCGCCGCCCTTTATGGCCTCGGAGGCCACGCCCCCCGCCCGGGCCACGCCCACCGAGCGGGGGATGACCACGCCCCCTCCTCTAAATATGATTGGGACCGCCCTCAATGCGGGGGGAGGGGTTTGTGCGGGGTAGCCACGCCCTTTATGCTAATGAGGAGGTGCAATGCTTCGTTTGTCACGCCCTTTATGCTAATGAGGAGGTGTAATGCTTCATTTGTCATGCTCCTTATACTAATTAGGAGAGTTAAAGCTTAATTTGGGAGCGTTAAAGCTTCATTTGCCATGCCCCTTATGCTAATGAGGAAGTGTAATGCTTCATTTGTCATGCCCTTTATGCTAATGAGGATATATAATGCTTCATTTGTCACGCCCTTTATGCTAATGAGGAGATGTAATGCTTCATTTGTCATGCCCTTTATGCTAATGAGGAGATGTAATGCTTCATTTGTCACGCCCTTTATGCTAATGAGGAGGTGTAATGCTTCATTTGTTATGCTCCTTATACTAATTAGGAGAGTTAAAGCTTAATTTGCCATATTTCTTATGCTAATGAGAAGGGTTAAAGCTTAATTTGGGAGCGTTAAAGCTTCATTTGCCATGCGTCTTATGCTAATGAGGATTAGAGCTCTGTTTGCCATGCCCCTTATGCTAATGAGACAGGTTAAAGCTTAATTCGGGAGCGTTAAAGCTTCATTTGCCATGCCCCTTATGCAAATGAGGATTAGAGCTCTGTTTGCCATGCCCCTTATGCTAATGAGACAGGTTAAAGCTTAATTTGGGTGCATTAAAATTTCATTTGCCATGCCCCTTATGCTAATGAGGAGGATTAAAGCTCAGTTTGAAATGCCTATTATGCTAATTAGGGGGGGTTAAAGCTTAATTTGCCGTGCCTCTTATGCTAATGAGGAGGGTTAAGGCTCCAAGTGTCACGCCCTTTATGGTAATGAGGTTTTCTGAAGTTGGCAAGCCCCTCCCCTTATGCTAATAGAACTTATCAACCCCCAGAATGCCCCTCCCCTTATGTTAATAATGATGGGGTTTAATTAATTATGCCCCTCCTCTTATGCTAATAATTTAAACCCTGTATACTCCAATTTTATACAAATAAGCTTTTAAAATCCCATTTGCCCCTCCCTTTATGCTAATAACTCATTATAATACCCTGATACCCCACCCCTTATGCTAATAACCCATATTAAAGCTGTCTGGCCCCTCCCCTTATGCTAATAGAGATTGCCAATCCCCAATGCCACACCCCTTATGCTAATTAGTCACTCTTTATTCACACCCCTTATGCTAATAGCAATTTATAAAGCCCCAAACCCCGCCCCTTATGCTAATAAGGAGCCCTGCAGGAATGTGCCCTGCCCCTTATGCTAATTACCACCCAAATTCCCACAAGCCACGCCTCTTATGCTAATTAGATGCTTAAACACCCCTAGACCACGGCAGGCCCCGCCCCCAACACATTGCCCCGCCCCTTTATCCATATATGGGTGTGTTAGTGTTCTATGCTAATGAGGGGGCGTGGCCTCCGCGGCGTTCCCACGGCCCCATTGAGAGATTTGGGGCTGGGGCTGGGGGGGGGGGGCTCTTAAAGGGGCCGCGCGGGAATGGGGGAGAGGAACTGGGGGCAACTGGGAGCACTGGGAGAGGAACTGGGGGCAACTGGGAGCACTGGGAGCACTGGGAATGGGGACTGGGGGTAACTGGGAGCACTGGGAGAGGAACTGGGGGGAACTGGGAGCACTGGGAGAGGAACTGGGGGGAACTGGGAGCACTGGGAGAGGAACTGGGAGCACTGGGAGCACTGGGAATGGGGACTGGGAGCACTGGGAATGGGACTGGGAGCACTGGGAATGGGACTGGGAGCACTGGGACGTTACTGGGAGCACTGGGAATGGGACTGGGAGCACTGGGAATGTTAATGGGACGTTACTGGGAGCACTGGGATGTCACTGGGAGCACTGGGAATGAGACTGGGAGCACTGGGACGTTACTGGGGGCACTGGGAATGGGACTGGGAGCACTGGGAGCACTGGGAAGGGGAACTGGGAGCACTGGGACGTTACTGGGAGCACTGGGAATTGGACTGGGAGCACTGGGAATGGGAACTGGGATCACTGGGAATGTTAATGGGACGTTACTGGGAGCACTGGGACGTTACTGGGAGCACTGGGAAGGGGAACTGGGAGCACTGGGACGTTACTGGGATGTTACTGGGAGCACTGGGAATGGGACTGGGACCACTGGGAATGGGAACTGGGAGCACTGGGACGTTACTGGGACGTTACTGGGACGTTACTGGGACGTTACTGGGAGCCCTTGGCGGGGGCGGGGCTAATTGGGGGCGGGGCCTGGGCGGGGTCACTCGAGGTCAAGTCTGGGCAGGAATTTGGGGGGGGCTCAGGAATTTGGGGGGGGGGGCTGAGGAGTCCGTAGGGAGCTCAAATTTTTGGGGGGGGGGGGGGATCTCAGGAATTGGGGGGGGGGTCCCCAAAAATGCACGAAGGATCCCCAAAATTCCTGGGGGGGGGTCCCAGGCTCAGATTTTGGGGAGGGGGTGGTTCATTTTGGGGGGGGCGTGGAGATTCAGGGGGGGACGCGGTGGGGCGGGGGGGGGCCCAAAAAGGGTCGGGGGGGCCCCAAAAAAGGGGCGGGGGGCCCCAAAAAGGGGCGGGGGGGCCCAAAAAAGGGGCGGGGGGGGCCCAAAAAGGGGCGGGGGGGCCCCAAAAAGGGGCGGGGGGGCCCCAAAAAGGGCCGCGCGTGCCCGGCCGGGCGCTCGCAGCTCCCCGGTAACGGCGCGTCCCGCCGGGCCCCCCCCGGGCCCCCCCGGAACCGGAACGGGCCCCGGAACACGGGGGGGGGTCCGAATTACCGGGGGGGGGTCCCGAAATTCCGGGGGGGTCCCCAAATTCCCGGGGGGGTCCCGAATTACCGAGGGGGTCCCCAAATTCCGGGGGGGTCCCGAATTACCGGGGGGGGCCCGAAATTCACGGGGGGGTCCCGAATTACCGGGGGGGGCCCAAATTGCCGGGGGGGGCCCAAATTGCCGGGGGGGTCCCGAATTACCGGGGGGGTCCCGAAATTCCCGGGGGGGCCCGAATTATCCGGGGGGGTCCCGAAATTCACAGGGGGTTCCCTGATCCATGGGAAGGGTCCCGAATTACCGGGGTGGGGGGTCCCGAAATTCACCGGGGGGGTCCCGAATTACCGGGGGGGGGCCCGAATTACCGGGGGGGTCCCGAATTACCGGGGGGGGGGTCCCGAAATTCCGGGGGGGTCCCGAATTACCGGGGGGGTCCCGAATTACCGGGGGGGGTCCCCAAATTCCGGGGGGGGTCTGAATTACCGGGGGGGTCCCGAATTACCGGGGGGTCCCGAATTATCCGGGGGGGTCCCGAAATTCCCAGGGGGGTCCCGAATTACCGGGGGGGGTCCTGAATTACCTTGGGGGGGTCCCGAATTACCTTGGGGGGGTCTCGAAATTCACGGGGGGGCCCGAATTCCCGGGGGGGTCCCGAAATTCACAGGGGGTTCCCCGATCCATGGGAGGGGTCCCGAATTTTTGGGGGGGGTCCTGAATTTTTGGGGGAGTTCCGAAATTCCCGGGGGGGTTCAAAAATTCCCGGGGGGGGTCCCCAATTCACCATGGGGGGGGTCCTGGGGGTTAATTTAGGGGGTCCCGGGTGTTAATTATTAATGGGGGAGTCCCAGGGGTTAATTTGGGGGGGGGTCTCCGGGGTTAATTTGGGGGGGCCCGGGATTAATTTGGGGGGGCCCCGGGGGTTAATTATTAATGGGGGAGTCCCAGGGGTTAATTTGGGGGGGGGTCTCTGGGGTTAATTTGGGGGGGGTCCCCGGGTTAAATTGGGGGGGTTCCCCGAGGTTAATTTGGGGGGGGGTCTCTGGGGTTAATTCTGGGGGGGTCCCCGGGGTAAATTTGGGGGGGGGGTCCCCGGGGTTAATTTGGGGGGGGGGTCCCCGGGGTTAATTCTGGGGGGTCCCCGGGGTTAATTTGGGGGGGGGTCCCCGGGGTTAATTTGGGGGGGGTCCCCGGGGTTAATTTGGGGGGTCCCTGGTTTTAAGGGGGGGGTCCCGGCTGCCCGAGCCCCCCAGGGTTAATGAGGTGGGGGGAGTCCCGGGATAATTTGAGGGGGGGGTCCCAGGAATCCGGACCCCCCGAGATCAATGGGGGGGCTGAGGGGTTTTGGGGGGGGGCTGAGGGGGTTTGGGGGGGGTCGCGGGGTTCGGGGGGGTCGCGGGGGTTGGGGGGGCCGGGGTGGTTTGGGGGGGTCGCGGGGGTTGGGGGGGGCCGGGGTGGTTTGGGGGGGTCGCGGGGTTCGGGGGGGGCCGGGGTGGTTGGGGGGGGGGTCGCGGGGGTTTGGGGGGGGTCGTGGGGGTTGGGGGGGGCTGAGGGGGTTTTGGGGGGGGTCGCGGGGGTTTGGGGGGGTCGCGGGGCCGCCCCCGGGGGATTTGTGTTTAATCCCCGGGCGGGGCTAATCCGCCCCCGGGGCACCGGGACCCGCCGCGGGCCGGGGCAGCAGCGCCGGTGAGAGCGGGCGGGGGTCCCGGGGGGGGGCGGGGGTCCCGGGGGGGGCGGGGGTCCTGAGGGGGTCCCCAGGGGGTGGTCACAGCGCGGGGGGGTCGCGGGTTCCGGGGGGATTTGGGGTCAGGGGTCTCTGGGGGGGGGGGAGGAATGAAGGGGGAATATTGGGGGGGGGTCGTGGGGTCCGGGGGGGGGCTCGGGGTGTTCTCTGGGGGTCGTGGAGGCCCCTGGGGTCAATGGGGGGGGGGTCGGGGGTCGCGGGGGGGGGGTCGGAGATTTGGGTGCCCTGGGGTCAAAGGTTGGGGTGCCCTGGAGGTGGGGGGGGGTCACGGGGGGTGGGGGTCGTCATGGGGGGGGGCGTGGACGGCTGAGTCCCCTTTGGTGGGGGTGGGGGGTCCCCAAATGGGGGTCCCGGGTTGGGGAGGGGGTCTCAGGGTGGGGGGATGCCGGGGTCAAAGGTCAGGGGTCTTCTCGCGGGTCCTGGGGTCATAGCGGGGGGGTCTCTGAGAGTGGGAGATCCTGGGGGGGGTCCCCAGGGGTGGGGGTCCCTGGAGGGGGAGGGGCCCGTGGATTTGGGGGGGTCCCCATGAGGAGGGGTCTCGCAGGGTCAGGGGTCACCGGGACACCTGGAGGGGGGCGGGGGTCCCGCAGGGGGGGGGAGGGGGGGTGGATTGTCCCTCCCCCACCCCCCCCTCCCCATCACCCCCCGTGGGAACCCCCCCGTGGTGGGGGGAGGGGGTGCGGGGGTCTTTCCCAGAATCCTTTGGGGCTCGTTTTTTGGGGGGCTTGGGGGGGTTTTGGGGGGTGGGATGCCCTTCCCATCGTGCCCCGCGGCCCCTGGGGTCTGTCGGGATTTTGGGGGGGTCGGTGGGGGGGGTTTTGGGGGGGGGATCTCGTGCGAGGGCCCCGAAAGCGGCTTAGGCACGCGCTGAGCCGCTTAGGCTAATTACCGCTAATTATAGCGCGGGCCCTTTAAGAGCCGCGACCCCCCCCCCACCCCCCCCAACCCCCCCAACCGACCTTAACCGGGGGGGGGAGGGGGCGTGGTCACATCCTTGTGCAGAGCCTGAGGGACCCCCCAGACCCCCCCGACCCCCCCATGGGTCACAGGAGGGACCTCCAGACCCCCCCAGGGGTCATATAAGGGACCCCAAGAGCCCCCCGACCCCCCCATGGGTCACAGGAAGGACCCCCAGACCCCCATAGAGCCCCCCAGACCCCCCCATGAGTCACAGGGGGGACCCCCAGACCCCCGAGACCCCCCCACATGTCACAGGAGGAACCCCAGACCCCCCAGACCCCTCCCAGGGGTCATATAAGGAACCCCCAGACCCCCGAGACCCCCCCAGATCCCCCAGACCCCCCCCATGAGTCACAGGGGGGACCCCCAGACCCCAATAGAGACCCCCAGACCCCCCCAGATCCTCCAGACCCCCCCCACGTATCACAGGAGGGACCCCCAGACCCCCATAGAGCACCCCCGACCCCCCCACGTATCACAGGAGAGACCCCCAGCCCCCCATGTGCCCCACACGCCCCCCCCAAACCCCCCCCACACCCCAAAATCCCCCCACAAGTGCCACACCCTCCCCCCAGAACACCCCCCATAGCCACCCAGTCCCACCGGTGACCCCCACCCCCTCCCCAGGCGTCCCACGCGCCCCCCGGCAGCCGCCATGGACATCGGGGGCCTGGAGACGGTGGTGGCCAACTCGGCCTACGTGTCGGCGCGCGGCGGCCCCGGCGGCGGCGGCAAGGAGCGGCGCTCCAAGGCGCGCCTCCGCCTGCCCCACATCTCCCAGTGCGAGGCCCTGCGCGCCCAGCTGGGCGGCACCGCCCAAAACGGCGCCCCGAACGGCGCCCCGCCCGGCCACGCCCAAGATGGCGGCCAGGAGACGTCGTTCCGCTGGCAGTGCGTGGAGCAGCCCATCGGGAAGCTGCTGTTCCGGAGGTTTCTGGAAGGACGGCCGGAATTCGCGCCCGCCGGGGCGCTGTGGGCGGAGATCGAGGCCTTCGAGCAGTGCGAGGACGCCGAGAGGGAGGAGGCGGCCAAGCGGCTGCGGAGCCGCTTCTTCACGCCAGGAGGGTCCGAGCACTGCGGCTTCCTCAGCGCCGCCGCCACCGCGCCGCCCGCAGGTGAGGGGTGGCGTGGGTGGGGGGCAATATGGCGGCCGTGGCGTTGGTATGACTGACATGGTTCCAATATGGCGGCCGTGGTGTTAATATGGCTGACATGGTTCCAATATGGCGGCCGTAGCATTGGTATGAATGACATGGTTCCAATATGGCGGCCATGGTGTTAATATGGCTGACATGGTTCCAATATGGCGGCCGTGGTGTTGATATGGCTGACGTGGCTCCAATATGGCTGACGTGGCTCCAATATGGCTGACACAGCTCCAATATGGCGGCCGTGGCATTGATATGGGTTACATGGTTCCAATATGGCGGCCGTGGCATTGATATGGGTTACATGGTTCCAATATGGCGGCCGTGGCATTGATATGGGTTACATGGTTCCAATATGGCGGCCGTGGTGTTGCTATGCCTGACGTGGCTCCAATATGGCTGACATGGCTCCAATATGGCTGACATGGTTCCAATATGGTGGCCATGGTGTTGATATGGCTGACGTGGCTCCAATATGGCAGCTGTGACATTAATATGGCTGACACAGCTCCAATATGGCTGACACGGCTTCAATATGGCTGACACGGCTCCAATATGGCGGCCGTGGTGTTAATATGGCTGACATGGTTCCAATATGGCGGCCATGTTGTTGATATGGCTGACATGGCTCCAATATGGCTGACACGGGTCCAATATGGTGGCCGTGGCATTGATATGGCTGACGTGGCTTCAATATGGCGGCCATGATGTTGATATGGATGACACGGCTCCAATATGGCAGACGTGGCTCCAATATGGCGGCCGTGGCATTGGTATGACTGACATGGTTCCAATATGGCGGCTGTGGTGTTAATATGGCTGACATGGTTCCAATATGGCGGCCGTGGTGTTGATATGGCTGACGTGGCTCCAATATGGCTGACACGGCTCCAATATGGCTGACACAGCTCCAATATGGCTGACGTGGCATTGATATGGTGGCCGTGGCATTGATATGGCTGACGTGGCTTCAATATGGTGGCCATGATGTTGATATGGATGACATGGCTCCAATATGGCAGACGTGGCTCCAATATGGCAGATGTGGCTCCAATATGGCTGATGTGGCTCCAATATGGCTGACGTGGCTCCAATATGGCTGACGTGGCTCCAATATGGCTGACATGGCTCCAAAATGGCGGCTGTGGCGTTGATATGGCTGATGTGATTCCAATATGGCTGACACGGCTCCAATATGGCGGCCGTGGCATTAATATGGCTGACGTGGCTCCAGTATGGAGGCCATGGCTCCAATATGGCGGCCGTGGTGTTGCTATGGCTGACACGGCTCCAATATGGCTGACGTGGCTCCAATATGGCGGCAATAATATGGCTGACACGGCACCAATATGGCGGCCGTGGCATCAATATGGCAGCCATGGCACCCCAACGGCAGCCATGACACCCCAGCCGTGTCTGTGCCACCCCAACGGCGGCCATGATGTTGTTGGCAGCCATGACACCCCAATGGCAGCCATGACACCCCAATGGCGGCCGTGATGGCATTGGCAGCCATGATATTCCAATGGCAGCCATGACACCCCAATGGCAGCCATGACACCCCAATGGCGGCCATGATGTTGTTGGCAGCCATGACACCCCAATGGCGGCCATGACACCCCAATGGCAGCCATGACACCCCAATGGCAGCCATGATGTTGTTGGCAGCCATGACACCCCAATGGCGGCCATGACACCCCAACCGTGTCCATGACAACCTCGGCAGCCATGACACCCCAACAGCGGCCATGACACCCCAACGGCGGCCATGACACCCCAACGGCGGCCATGATACCCCAATGGTGGCCATGACACCCCAATGGCAGCCATGATGTTGTTGGCAGCCATGACACCCCAACGGCAGCCATGACACCCCAACAGCGGCCATGACACCCCAACGGCGGCCATGACACCCCAACGGCGGCCATTACACCCCCTAACCCTCCCCGCTGACCCCTCAGGTTCGGCGCCGGCGGGCGACGCCTTCGTGCCGGCGCGGCGGGAGCTGCTGGCGCACCTGGAGGCGGCGGCCTGGGGGCCGTACCGGGGCTCGCCCGAGTTCGGGCGCTTCGTGCAGTTCAAGTGGCTGGAGGGCCAGGCCGTCAGCGCCGACGCCTTCGCCGAGTTCCGCGTGCTGGGCAAGGGCGGCTTCGGCGAGGTGTGCGCCTGCCAGCGCCGCGCCACCGGCAAGATGTACGCCAACAAGCGCCTCAACAAGAAACGCCTCAAGAAGCGCAAGGGATACGAGGTGGGCGTGGCCTCAGGGTGGCCCCAAGGTGTCCCCAAGGTGGCACGAAGCGTGGCCTCAGGGGTGTCCCCAGGGTGGCACCAAGCGTGGTTCCAGAGGTTTCCCCAGGTTGTCCCCAAAAGTGGCCCCAGGGTGGCCCCAAAGGTGTCCCCAGGGTGGCTCCAAGGGTGGCCCCGAGGGTGGCCTCAGGGCATTCCCAGGGTGGCCCCAAGGGTGGCACCAAGGTGGCACCAATGGTGTCCCCAAGGTGGCACCAAGGGTGGCCCCAAGGTGGCACCAAGGTGGCCCCAAGGTGGCACCAAGGGTGGCCTGAGGGCATCCCCAGGATGGCCCCAAGGGTGGCCCCAGGGTGGCCCCAAGGTGGCCCCAAGGTGGCCCCAGGGTGTCCCCAAGGGTGGCCCAGGGGTGTCCCCAGGGTGGATCCAAGGGTGTCCCCAAGGGTGTCCCCAGGTGGCACCAAGCGTGGCCCCAAAGGTGGCCCCAGGGTGTCCCCAGGGTGTCCCCAGGGTGGCCCCAAAGGTGGCCCCAGGGTGGCCCCAAGGTGGCACCAAGGTGGCACCAAGCGTGGCTCCAGAGGTTTCCCCAGGGTGGCACCAAGGGTGGCACCAAGGGTGTCCCCACGGTGGCCCCAGGGGTGGCCCCAGGGTGTCCCCAAGGTGGCACCAAGGGTGGCCCCAAAAGTGTCCCCAGGATGTCCCCAAGGGTGGCCCCAATGGTGTCCCCAAGGTGGCCCCAGGGTGTCCCCAGGGGTGTCCCCAAGGTGGCCCCAGGGTGTCCCCAAGGTGGCACCAAGCGTGGCCTCAGAGGTGTCCCCAGGGTGGCCCCAAGGGTGGCCCCAGGGGTGTCCCCAGGTTGTCCCCAAGGGTGGCCCCAAGGTGGCTCCAATGGTGTCCCCAAGGGTGTCCCCAAGGGTGTCCCCAGGGTGGCACCAAGGGTGTCCCCAAGGTGTCTCCAAGGGTGTCCCTAGGGTGTCCCCAGGGTGGTTCTGAGGGTGGCCCCAAGGTGGCCCCAAGGATCCTGGTGCACGTCCACATCCACCTTATTGTGTCCCTGTCCCTGTCCCTGTCCCTGTCCACACCCCGTGTCCATGGTGGTGCCATCCCATGTCCCAACGTGTCCCCAACGTGTCCCCAACGTGTCCCCAACACGTCCCCACCGTGTCCCCGTGGTGTCCCCAGGCGGCGCTGGTGGAGAAGCGGATCCTGGCGCGTGTCCACAGCCGCTTCATCGTGTCCCTGGCCTGCGCCTTCCAGACCAAGACCGACCTCTGCCTCGTCATGACCATCATGAACGGCGGCGACCTGCGGTACGCGGGCTGCGGTGGCCCTGGGGACAGCGGGGTGGCCTCGGGGACAGCGGGGTGGCCTTGGGGTGGCCTCTGGGTGGCCTCAGGGTGGCCTCAGGGTGGCCTTGGGGTGGCCTCGGTGTGACCTCAACCTTGGATTGGTCTTGGTGTGACCTTCATGTGGCCTTGGAGTGGCCTTGGCATGGTCTGGTATGGCCTTGGTGTGACCCTGGTGTGACCTTGGTGTGACCTTGGTGTGACCTTGGTGTGACCTTGGTGTGACCTTGATGTGGCTTTGATGTGACCTTGATGTGGCTTTGTGTGACCTTGATGTGGCATTGGTGTGACCTTGGTGTGGCCTTGATGTCACCCTGGTGTGATCTTGGCATGGCTTTGGTGTGACCTTGGAGTGGCCTTGGCATGGCCTTCATGTGACCTTGATGTCACCCTGGTGTGACCTTGATGTGACCTTGATGTCACCCTGGTGTGATCTTGGCACTGTGCTGGTGCCACACACATTGATCATGTCCCTGTGGTGTCCCCAGTGTCCTCAATGTCTCCAAGTGTCCCCAATGTCCCCGATGTCCCCGATGTCCCCATGGCATTGTCCCAAATGTCCCCATGGTGTCCCTGTGGCGCCCCGTGGTGTCCTGATGTCCCCAGGTGCCACATCTACAACATGGACGAGGAGAACCTGGGGTTCATGGAGCCACATGAGCTGAGCACGTCCCTGTCATGTCCCCATGATATCCCCAATGTCCCTGATGTCCCCGATGTCCCTGTGGTGTCCCCATGGTGTCCCTGTAGTGTCCCCGATGTCCCCAATGTCCCCAGGTGCCACATCTACAACATGGACGAGGAGAACCCGGGCTTCACATCCTGTTCATGTCCCTGTCATGTCTCCATTGGTGTCCCTGTGGTGTCCCCAGTGTCCCTGTGGTGTCCCCAATGTCCCCATGGTGTCCCTGTGGTGTCCCTGTGATGTCCCCGATGTCCCCAGGTGCCACATCTACAACGTGGACGAGGAGAACCCGGGGTTCATGGAGCCACATGAGCTGAGCATGTCCCTGTCATGTCCCCATGATGTCCCAAATGTCCCTGATGTCCCCCATGTCCCCAGGGTCCCCATGGTGTCCCCGTGGTGTCCTGATGTCCCCAGGTGCCACATCTACAACATGGACGAGGAGAACCTGGGGTTCATGGAGCCACATGAGCTGAGCATGTTCCTGTCATGTCCCCATGGTGTCCCTGTGGTGTCCCCGATGTCCCCGATGTCCCTGTGGTGTCCCCATGGTGTCCCTGTGGTGTCCCCAGTGTCCCCAATGTCCCTGTGGTGTCCCCGTGGTGTCCCCAATGTCCCTGATGTCCCCGATGTCCCCAGGTGCCACATCTACAACATGGACAAGGAGAACTTGGGGTTCATGGAGCTGCATGTGCTGAGCATGTCCCTGTCATGTCCCCATGGTGTCCCCGTGGTGTCCCTGTGGTGTCCCCAATGTCCCCGATGTCCCCGATGTCCCCGATGTCCCCATGGTGTCCCCAATGTCCCTGATGTCCCCGATGTCCCTGTGGTGTCCCTGTGGTGTCCCCATGGTGTCCCCAATGTCCCCGATGTCCCCGATGTCCCCAATGTCCCTGTGGTGTCCCCAATGTCCCCAGGTACCACATCTACAACGTGGACGAGGAGAACCCCGGCTTCGCATCCTGTTCATGTCCCTGTCATGTCTCCATTGGTGTCCCTGTGGTGTCCCCAGTGTCCCTGTGGTGTCCCCAATGTCCCCAGGTGCCACATCTACAACATGGACAAGGAGAACCTGGGGTTCATGAAGCCACATGAGCTGAGCATGTCCCTGTCATGTCCCCATGGTGTCCCCGTGGTGTCCCCAATGTCCCTGTGGTGTCCCCAATGTCCCCGATGTCCCTGATGTCCCCGATGTCCCCAGGTACCACATCTACAACGTGGACGAGGAGAACCCCGGCTTCGCGGAGCCGCGCGCGGTTTTCTACACGGCGCAGATCCTGCTGGGGCTGGAGCACCTCCACCAGCACCGCATCGTCTACCGCGACCTCAAACCCGAGAACGTCCTGCTCGACGACGCCGGTGGGGACACGGGGACGCTGGGGGGACACAGGGACATTGGGGACATTGGGGACATTGGGGACATTGAGGACATTGGGGACATTGGGGACATTGGGACATTGGGACATTAGGACATTGGAGATGTTGGAGATGTTGGGGACGTTGGGGACATTGAGGACATTGGGGACGTAGGGGACATTGGGGACATTGGAGATGTTGGAGATGTTGGGGACATTGAAGACATTGGGACATTGGAGATGTTGGGGACATTGGGGACATTTGGACATTAGGGACGTAGGGGACATTGGGGACATTGGGGACATTGGGGACACTGGGGACATTGGGACATTGGAGATGTTGGAGATGTTGGAGATGTTGGGGACATTGGGGACATTGGGGACATTGGAGATGTTGGAGATGTTGAAGACATTGGGGACGTTGGGGACATTGGGGACATTTGGACATTGGGGACATTGGGGACACTGGGGACATTGGAGATGTTGGAGATGTTGGGGACATTGGGGACGTTGAGGACATCAGGGACATTGGGGACATTGGAGATGTTTGGGACACTGGGGACATTGGGGACATTGGAGACGTTGGGGACATTAGGGACGTTGGGGACATTGGAGACGTTGGGGACATTAGGGACGTTGGGGACATTGGAGACGTTGGGGACATTAGGGACGTTGGGGACATTGGAGATGTTGGAGATGTTTGGGACACTGGGGACATGGGGACATTTGGACACTGGAGATGTTGGGATATTTGGGACATTGGGGGATGTGGGAAATGAGGGGGACATGGGGACACTGGTGGTCATTGGTGGCCACTGGACTAGTGGTCATTGGTGGTCACTGGTGGTCATTGGTGGTCATTGGTGATCACCAGTGGTCACAGTGGTCACTGTTGGTCATTGGTGGTCACCAGTGGTCATTGGTGGTCACCGGTGGTCATTGGTGGTCACTGTTGGTCACTGTTGGTCACCGGTGATCATTGGTGGTCACCAGTGGTCACCGGTGGTCACTGTTGGTCACTGTTGGTCACTGGTGGTCACTGTTGGTCACCGGTGTCCAGGCCACGTCCGTCTGTCCGACATGGGCTTGGCCGTGGAGCTCAAGGATGGAGAGAGCAAAACCCGCGGCTACGCCGGGACCCCAGGTGGGGATGGGGACACTGGGGACACTGGGGGACACTGGGGACACTGGGGGGACACTGGTGGGACACTGGGGACACTGGGGGGACACTGGGGACACTGGGGACACTGGGGGACACTGGTGGGACAGGGGGACATGGGGAGAACCTTGGGTACAGTGAGGACATGGGAAGCCCCCCCAGATACCGGTGTCCCCCCTGTGTCACCTGGGCCCCTCGGTGTCCCCTGCCCCCCTCGATGTCCCCTCGATGTCCCCTCGATGTCCCCTCGGTGTCCCTCGATGTCCCCTCGATGTCCCCGCAGGGTTCATGGCCCCCGAGCTGCTGAAGAACGAGGACTACGATTGGTCGGTCGATTACTTCACGCTGGGGGTGACGGTCTACGAGATGCTGGAGGCCAAAGGTCCCTTCCGCCGGCGGGGGGAGAAGGTGACCCCACCCCCAGCGCCCCCCAGTACAGACCAGTACAGACCAGTACAGCCCAGGAACCACAGGAACCCTCAGGAACCCCCAGGAACCTCTGAGGGATTCCAAAAACCTCCCCAGAAACTCCCAAGAACCACCAGGAACTGCCCAAAATTCAGCTCAGGGCCCAGAACCTTCGGAAACCCCCCAAGAACCCCCCAGGTCCCTCAGAAACTCCAAAATTTCCAATACACCCCCAAAAAACGCCCCAGGACCTTCAGAAACTTCCAAGAACCTCCATGAAATCTGCCAGGACCTTCAGAAATCCCCTAAAACCTCAAAGAACCCCCCAGGTCCCTCCGAAAACCTCCAAGAACCTGCAAGAAACCCCCCAGGACCTTCAGAATCCCCCAAGAACCTCCAAGAAATCCCCCAGATCCTTCAGAAATTCAAAATTTCCAATCAACCCCCCAAAGATCCCCCCAAGACCCTTAGAAAAGCCCCCAAAGCCTCCAAGAAACCCCTCAGGACTTTCAGAACCCCCCAAGAACCTCCAAGAAATCCCCCAGGTCCTTCAGAAACTCCAAATTTCCATTAAACCCCCAAAAAACTCCCCAGGTCCCTCAGGAACCTCCAAGAACCTCCAAGAAATCCCCCAGGTCCCTCAGAAAACCCCCAAAGCCTCAAAGAAACCCCTGGTCCTTCAGAAACCCCCAAGAACCTCCAAGAACACCCCAAGAACCCCCCAAGAACCACCCGAGGACCTTCAGAAACGCCCAAGAACCCCCCAAGAACCCCCCAAGAACCACCCGAGGACCTTCAGAACCCCCCAAAACCTCCATAAAATGTGACCCCCAGGACGTCCCTCCGTGTTTTCTCCCCGTTGTCCCCTCAGGTGGAGAACAAGGAGGTGACGCGGCGCATCCTGAACGACCCGGTGACCTACTCGGAGAAGTTCAGCGCGGCGGCGCGCGAGGCCTGCGAGGGGCTCCTGGCCAAGGACCCCCAGGCCCGCCTGGGCTTCCGCGACAACGGCTGCGCGCAGCTGAAGGCCCACCCCTTCTTCAGGAGCATCAACTGGGGGCGCCTCGAGGCCGGTAACGCCCCGGTGGGGGTCTCCAGGGTGGTCAAGGGTCTGGAGATGGGGCTCCAGGGGGTGGTGGTGGAGGTGGGGCGCGGTGGGGCGGTGGGTGGTCAGGAGTTGGGGTCTCCAGGGGGTTTTGGGTGGTCGTGGTGGTGTCTCCATTGGGTGTTCGGTGGGTGGTCAAGAGTTGGGGTCTCCGATGGGTTTTGGGGTCTCCAATGGGTTTTGGGTGGTCGTGGTGGTGTCTCCATTGGGTGTTGGGTCCTCAAAGGACATTGGGTGGTCAAGAGTTGGGGTCTCCAGTGGGTTTTGGGGACTCCAGTGGGTTTTGGGTGGTCGTGGTGGGGTCTCCATTGGGTGGGTGGTCAAGAGTTGGGGTCTCCGATGGGTTTTGGCGTCTCCAATGGGTTTTAGGGGCTCATGGTGGTGTCTCCATTGAGCGTTGGGTGGGTGCTCAGGAGTTGGGGTCTCCAGTGGGTTTTGGGGTCTCCAAAGGGGGTTGGGTGCTCATGGTGGTGTCTCCATTGGGTGGGTGGTCATGAGTTGGGGTCTCCAGTGGGTTTTGGGGTCTCCAAAGGGGGTTGGGTGCTCATGGTGGTGTCTCCATTGGGTGTTGGGTGGGTGGTCATGAGTTGGGGTCTCCGATGGGTTTTGGGTGGTCGTGGTGGTGTCTCCATTGGGTGTTGGGTGGGTGGTCAAGAGTTGGGGTCTCCAGTGGGTGTTGGGGTCTCCAGGGGGTTTTGGGTGGTCGTGGTGGTGTCTCCATTGGGTGTTCGGTGGGTGGTCAAGAGTTGGGCTCCTCAAAGGACATTGGGTGGTCAAGAGTTGGGGTCCCCAGTGGGTTTTGGGGTCTCCAGCGGGTTTTGGGGTCTCCAGTGGGTTTGGGGGTCTCCAGTGGGTTTTGGGGTCTCCAAAGGGGGTTGGGTGCTCATGGTGGTGTCTCCATTGGGTGGGTGGTCAAGAGTTGGGGTCTCCAGGGGGTTTTGGGTGGTCATGGTGGTGTCTCCATTGGGTGTTGGGTGGGGGGTCAAGAGTTGGGGTCTCCAACGGATTTTGGGGTCTCCAGTGGGTGTTGGGGTCTCCAATGAATGCTGGAGGTCCAACAACAGAGTTTCCACTGAGTGCTGGGAGCCCTGCAATGAATTTTGGGGAGTTCCTGGTGGTTCTTGAGATGTTCTTGGGAGCCCTCAGATGTTCCTTGGGGTTCCCCTGGTAACTGGACCATACTGGGAGGTTTCTGGGAGGCCTGGGATTGATTTTGGGGAGCTCCTGGTGGTTCTTGAGATGTTCTTGGAAGCCCTCAGATGTTCCTTGGGGTTCTCTTGGTAACTGGGAGATACTGGACCATACTGGGCTGTACTGGGAGGTTTCTGAGAGCCCTGGGATGAGTTTTGGGGTGTTCTTGGTGGTTCTTGAGATGTTCTTGGAAGCCCTCAGATGTTCCTTGAGGTTCCCCTGGTTACTGGGCCATACTGGGCTGTACTGGGAGTATTCTGGGAGCTGTGGGATGAATTTTGGGGAGTTCCTGGTGGTTCTTGAGATGTTCTTGAGAGCCCTCACATGGTCTTGGGGTTCTCCTGGTAACTGGGAGATACTGGTCTATACTGGGCTGTGGTGGGAGGTTTCTGAGAGCCCTGGGATGAGTTTTGGGGAGTTCCTGGTGGTTCTTGAGATGTTCTTGGAAGCCCTCAGATGTTCCTGGGGATTCCTTGGGGTTCCTGTGGTTACTGGGCCATACTGGGCTGTACTGGGAAGTTTCTGGGAGCCCTGGGATGAGTTTTGGGGAGTTCCTGGTGGTTCTTGAGATGTTCTTGGGAACCCTGAGATGTTCCTTGGGGTTCCCCTGGTTACTGGGCCATACTGGGCTGTACTGGGCTGCACTGGCAGGTTTCTGGGAGCCCTGGGATGAGTTTTTGGGTGTTCCTGGTGGTTCTTGAGATGTTCTTGGGAGCCCTCAGATGTTTCTTGAGGTTCCTTGGGGTTCCCCTGGTTACTTGGCCATACCGGGCTGCACTGGGAGGTTTCTGGGAGCCCTGGGATGAGTTTTGGGGCGCTCCTGGTGGTTCTTGAGAAGTTCTTGAAAGCCCTCAGATGTTCCTGGGGGTTCTCCTGGTAACTGGGAGATACTGGTCTATACTGGGCTGTACTGGGAGGTTTCTGAGAGCCCTGGGATGAGTTTTGGGGCATTCCTGGTGGTTCTTGAGATGTTCTTGGAAGCCTTCAGATGTTCCTGGGGGTTCCTTGGGGTTCCTGTGGTTACTGGGCCATACTGGGATGTACTGGGCTGTACTGGGAGTATTCTGGGAGCTGTGGGATGAATTTTGGGGAACTCCTGGTGGTTCTTGAGATGTTCTTGGAAGCCCTGAGATGTTCCTGGGGGTTCCCCTGGTAACTGGACCATACTGGGCTGTACTGGGAGTATTCTGGGAGCTGTGGGATGAGTTTTGGGGCGTTCCTGGTGGTTCTTGAGATGTTCTTGGGAGCCCTGAGATGTTCCTGGGGGTTCTCCTGGTAACTGGGAGATACTGGACCGTACTGGGAGGTTTCTGGGAGCCTTGGGATGAATTTTTGGGAGTTCCTGGTGGTTCTTGAGATGTTCTTGGAAGCCCTGAGATGTTCCTGGGGGTTCTCTTGGTAACTGGGAGATACTGGTCTACACTGGGCTGTACTGGGAGTATTCTGGGAGCCCTGGGATGAGTTTTGGGGAGTTCCTGGTGGTTCTTGAGAAGTTTTTTGGAAGCCCTCAGATGTTCCTTGGGGTTCCTGTGGTTACTGGGCCATACTGGGCTGTACTGGGCTGTACTGGGAAGTTTCTGGGAGCTGTGGGATGAACTTTGGGGAGTTCCTGGTGGTTCTTGAGATGTTCTTGGAAGCCCTCAGATGTTCCTGGGGGTTCCTTGGGGTTCCCGTGGTTACTGGGCCATACTGGGCCATACTGGGCTGTACTGGGAGTATTCTGGGAGCTGTGGGATGAGTTTTGGGGAGTTCCTGGTGGTTCTTGAGATGTTCTTGGAAGCCCTGAGATGTTCCTGGGGGTTCCCTTGGTTACTGGACCATACTGGGGCTATCAAGCACCTCCACAACAACCCCAAAACCAACGGGGTGTCCCCCCCCACCCCACCCCAAGGCCTGGTGCCGCCCCCGTTCGTGCCGGACCCCCGGCGCGTCTACGCCAAGGACCTGGGCGACGTGGGGGCCTTCTCCACGGTGAAGGGCGTGGAGCTGGACGCGGGGGACGCGGCGCTGTGCGACGCCTTCGCCTCGGGCACCGTGCCCATCCCCTGGCAGGAGGAGCTGATCGAGACCGGCGTCTTCCAGGAGCTCAACGTCTGGGGGGCCCCGGGGACGCTGCCCCCTGACCTGGACCCCAACGCCGCGGGGGGCGCGGGTGGGGGGAAGTCCTCAACGTGTCACCTGCTGTGAGGGGCACCCCGAAATCGGGGGGGAAAGTCCTCCACGTGTGGGACCCCAAAATCTGGGGGTAACTCCACCTGTCACCGAAATTTGGGGAGTAATTCCACCTGTGGGACCCCGAAATTTGGGGGGTAACTCCACCTGTGGGACCCGAAATTTGGGGGGAAAGTCCTCCACGTGTCACCTGCTGTGAGGAGCACCCCAAAATCTGGGGGTAACTCCACCTGTGGGACCCCGAAATCTGGGGCTAACTCCACCTGTGGGACCCCGAAATTTGGGGGGTAACTCCACCTGTCACCTGCTGTGAGGGGCACCCCGAAATTTGGGGGGAAAGTCCTCCACGTGTCACCTGCTGTGAGGGGCACCCTGAAATTTGGGGTAACTCCACCTGTGGGACCCCAAAATCTGGGGGTGACTCCACCTGTGGGACCCCGAAATTTGGGGGTAACTCCACCTGTGGGACCCCGAAATTTGGGGTAACTCCACCTGTGGGACCCCGAAATCTGGGGGTAACTCCACGTGTCACCTGCTGTGAGGGGCACCCCGAAATCTGGGGGGAAAGTCCTCCACGTGTCACCTGCTGTGAGGGGCACCCCGAAATCTGGGGGGAAAGTCCTCCACGTGTCACCTGCTGTCAGGGGCACCCCGAAATTTGGGGGTAACTCCACCTGTGGGACCCCGAAATTTGGGGGAAAAGTTCTCCACGTTACACCTCCTGTCAAGGGCACCCCGAAATTTGGGGGGTGACTCCACCTGTGGGACCCCAAAATTTGGGGGTAACTCCACCTGTCACCGAAATTTGGGGGGGTAACTCCACCTGTCACTTGTGGCACCCCGAAATTTGGGGTGTTGATCCTTCACCTGTTGTGAGCGGGATTGCACCCCAAAATTTTGGGCAGCGAAATTTGGGGGGGCTCTAAAAGTGGGGGGCTCCATCCCGAAGGGGCTCGAAATTGGGGGACCCCCCCCCTTGACGATACCTGGAGTTGGTGCCCAAAATTGGGGTGTCCCCCCCCCCTTTTTGGGGTGTCTGGAATGGGGGGGGACAAAACTGGGAAACCCCTCGGGACCCCCCAAAAATCAACGCCCCCCCCAAAAAAAGACCCCAAAACTCGAGGGGTCCCCCCACACCTCAGGGCTCGGTGCCACCTGGGGGGGTCCCCAAATTTACCTCATGTCCCCCCCTCCCCCCGTGGCTCAGGGACACATTTTGGGCACCCCCAAAAAAGGGGGAACCCCCAAAAAAGGGGGAACCCCCCAAAAAAGGGGGAACCCCCAAAAAAAGGGGGAACCCCCAAAAAGGGGGAACCCCCAAAAAAGGGGGAACCCCCAAAAAAAGGGGGAACCCCCAAAAAAAGGGGGAACCCCCAAAAAAGGGGGTCCCCTCCCCCCCCCCCCCCCCGTGTACAATAAATCGTGGTTGTTGTTGCTGCTCCCTGGGGGGGTCTGGATTTGGGGACCCCCCGATGTCACCCCCAAAATGTCCCCGCAGTGTCCCCCCCCCCAGTGCCACCCCCACCGGGAACCGCCACTCCCCCCTCAATGTCCCCAATGTGTCCCCAAATGTCCCCAAATGTGCCCGATGTCCCCAATTCCCCCGATGTCCCCAAATGTCCCCCCATGTCCCCACACCCCCAATGTCCCCAATGTCCCCAAATGTCCCAATCGCCCCAATGTCCCCAAATGTGCCTGATATCCCCAAAGTCCCCAATTCCCTCAATGTCCCCAATCCCCCCCAATGTCCCCAATGTCCCCAGTGTCTCCAGTGTCCCCAATGTCCCCATTGTCCCCAAATCCCCTGATGTCCCCAAGGTTCCCCCCGTGTCTCCATTGTCCCCAATGTCCCAATGTCCCCAATGCCCCCCAAATGTCCCCAATGTCCCAACCGCCCCAAATGTGTTCGATGTCCCCAAAGTCCCCAATCCCCTCAATGTCCCCAATCCTCCAACATCACCAATGTCCCCAATATCATCAATGTCCCCAAATGTCCCCATTGTCCCCAGTGTCCCCCAATGGCTCCAAATGTCCCCCCATGTCCCCAACCCTCACAATCCTCCCAATGTCCTCAGTGTCCCCAATCCCCCCATTGTCCCCAATCCGCCCAGTGTCCCCAGTGTCCCCAATCCCCCCAAATGTCCCCAATGTCCCCAATCCCCCCAATGTCCCCATTGTCCCCAATCCCCCCAATCCCCCCCAATGTCCCTGATGTCCCCAATCCCCCCTGATGACCCGATGTTCCCAACCCCACTGCTATCCCCAATCCCCCAAATGTCCCCAGTGTCCCCAATGTCCCCAGTGTCCCCAATCCCCCCCGTGTCCCCAGTGTCCCCAGTGTCCCCAATCCCCCCCCAGTGTCCCCAGTGTCCCCAGTGTCCCCAGGGCCAGCTCAGCTCTACGGTGTTTATTGGCGTCTCTAACACTCACTGATGCAGATAAATAGTGGACATTTGTCACCGCTGCCACCCCCCCGCGGGGACACCCCCGAGGGGACACCCCGGAGGGGACGGACGCCGTGGGGACATCCCGGGGGGGGCGTGGGGACATCCGTGGGGTCACCTCGGTGGGGACAGGGCCATCTCCTTGGGGACATTCCCAGAGACATCCCCTTGAGGACACCCTCAGGGCCACCCCTTGGGGATATCCCGCATTGGGGTCACCCCCGTGGGGACATCCTGGTGGGGACAGGGCCATCCCCTTGGGGACATCCCCTTGGGGACACCCTCAGGGCCACCCCTTGGGGACATCCCCCATCAGGGTCACCTCACTGGGGACATCTCCAGGGCCACCCCCAGGGCCACCCCTTGGGGACATCCCCTTGGGGACACCCTCAGGGTCACCCCTTGGGGACATCCGTGGGGTCACCTCACTGGGGACATCCTGGTGGGGACAGGGCCACCCCTTGGGGACATCCCCTTGGGGACATCCCCTTGGGGACACCCCCAGGGCCACCCCTTGGGGACACCCCCCACTGACGTCACCCCTCGGTGTCCCCCGGGTGGTGCCACCCCATTTTTGGTGCCACCCCCGCCCGTCGATGTCCCCATCTCTGTCCCCTCCCCCCCCCGTGTCCCCTCCCCCCCTCCCCCCCCGTGGGGTTTTTGTCACTTTTCCCTTTTCCCGCTCCTTTTTTTTGCCTTTTCCGGTCGCTTTTCCCCCTAAAGTGCGCTCGGGAGGGGGGAGGGGACACCGGGGGGGGGGAGGGGACACCGGGGGGGGGAGGGGACACCGGGAGGGGGGGGAGGGGACATTGGTGGGGGGAGGGGACACCGGGTGGGGGAGGGGCGGGGGGGTCAGTCAGTAGCGAACGCGGCCGCGAAAGTGCAAAAGGGGGGAGGGGCCGCGGGGGGAGGGGAGGGGGAGGGGGAGGGGCCTTGCACGGGGCTTTGCACGAGGAGGGTCCTTGCACGAGGATCGGCCTTGCACATGGAAGAATCTTGCACGAGGATCCTTGCACACGCGCTTTGCACGAGGATCCTTGCACGAGGATCGTCCTTGCACGTGGATCCTTGCACGAGGAGGGTCCTTGCACGTGGATCCTTGCACATGGATCATCCTTGCACGTGGATCTTTGCACGTGGCAGAATCTTGCACATGGATCCTTGCACGAGGACGATCCTTGCATGTGGCAGAATCTTGCATGTGGATCCTTGCACAAGGATCATCCTTGCACGTGGATCGTCCTTGCACATGGGCTTTGCACGCGGATCATCCTTGCACACGCGCTCTGCACAAGGGTTCTCACGTGAGGAGGATCCTTGCACATGGATCATCCTTGCACGTGCGCTTTGCACACGGGTTCTCACACGAGGAGGGTCCTTGCACATGGATCAGCCTTGCACGTGGCTCGTCCTTGCACACGAAATTTGCACAAGGGCTCTCGTGCAAGGAGGACCCGTGCAGGAGGTGGAATCTTGCACACCCGCTTTGCACGAGGAGGGTCCTTGCACGAGGAGCCTCGCACGTGGAACGTCCCTTGCACGCGGATCCTCACATGAGGAATGTCCCTTGCACATGGATCCTTGCACGAGGATGCGCCTTGCACACAACATTTTGCACGAGGAGGATCCGTGAATGTGGAAGAACCTTGCACACGGATCCTTGCACAAGGAGCGTCACATGCACGAGGGTTTCTTGCACAGGGATCCTTGCACGAGGACAAGGTTTTTGCACGTGGATCCTGGCACGAGGAACGTCCCTTGCACGTGGATTTGCTCGCTCAGCACGGATCCTTGCACACCCGCCCCCCTCATGCGAGGCCCCCCCGGTGGCGGTGACGGAGCGTGAGCGTGAGCGTGGGTGGGCGTGCAAGGGGGGGGTCAGGCGGGTGTGCAAGGGGGGTTTTGCACGAGGGTCGCCCCCAGCGCCGAGCGGGGCACGAGGGCGGCGGGGGAGGGGCGGGCCTTGCACGAGGGCGGCTCTTGCACACTCAGAATCGCACGGGGACCCCCTTGCACACTCACCATTGCACGGGGAGCCATTTGCACACTCACCATTGCACGGGGAGCCGTTTGCACACTCAGAATCTCACCGGGAGCCGTTTGCACACTCAGAATCTCACCGGGAGCCATTTGCACACTCAGAATCGCACTGGGAGCCATTTGCACACTCAGAATCTCACCGGGAGCCATTTGCACACTCAGAATTGCACGGGGACCCCCTTGCACACTCACAACTGAAGGAGGAGCTCTTTGCACACTGACCATCACACGGGGACCCATTTGCACACTCACAGCTGTACAGGGACCCATTTGCACGCTCAGAATTGCACCAGGGTGGGCCTTGCACACTCACCATGGCACGGGGAGCCATTTGCACACTCACAAGTGAATGAGGAGTCCTTTGCACGCTCAGAATTGCACAGGGACCCATTTGCACGCTCGCCATTGCACGGAGACCCCCCTTGCACACTCAAAACTCCGCCAAGCCGCCCTTGCACACTCACCAGGGCACAAGGACAGGCCTTTGCACACTCAGAACTGCACAAAGCCCCCCTTGCACACTCACCAGTGCACAAGGACGGCCCTTTGCACGCTCAGAACTGCACAAAGCCGCCCTTGCACACTCACCATTGCACGAGGGCCCCCCTTGCACACTCAGGCCTGCGCGTGGCCCCTCCCCCTGCACGCCCCCCCCCTTGCACACCCGCCTTGCACACGCGCCCCTCCCCCGCCCCCGGGGCTGGAATGTCGCTGCGATGCCGATAAGGTGCCGATGGGGGGGAGGGGTCGGGGGTCGGGATTTTGGGGGGCCCCGGGATAGTGGGGGGGGCCCCGACTCTGGGGGGGGGGAGGGGAGGGACCCCTGTAGTGGGGGAGGGGTCCCTGTGGTGGGGGAGGGGCCCCTGTGGTGGGGGAGGGGCCCCTTTGGGGGTGCAAAACGCTGCGGGGGGGGGGAGGGGCGGGCCCC